GAAAGAATATCTTGTCTGGAGCATTTGCTTTGCTTACGGTACTGCAAATGCATACAGCATTGCTTAAATGATAATGCTGTGCAGTTAGGGTGGATATTTTTTTTTTTTTAACTCGTGCGGAGTTACTGTTCCGAAGAAATGAGTCTATTGCAAATATGTGCTGCTTTTTTTTTTTTTTTTTTTCTGCAAATCTGCAGATCTGCAAATTCCTTGTCCTTGTTCCACAGTTACCTGAACTTTCTGACGGCAGCAGCTGCAGTGAGTGATGCCGTACAAACGAGGAGATAGAAGTGGAGCGGCTGGGTTTGGTCAACGCATGTAATGAAGGAGAGACTAAGCTAGAAGCACTGTGTTTGGTAATATCCTTCCAACATTATAAATGAAGGTCCGGCTGGGGCATCACCTTAGAGATAAATCTGTGAAGATGACCTCTAGGGGTTCCTTCCAACCCAAAACATTCTATGATTCTATGATAAGAAAAGCTAAACCTACAGAGATAAAAACAGGAACTCCCATTTTATCCATTAAGTCTGTTTGGGTAGGTGAGTTAGACAAAGCTGGTGTGAAAACTTTCACACAAGTGTTCGACATTTTTGTTATGGTTGCCTTAATTACTAGGGGCAATCGCCTTATATCCATTTAAATTCTCCTTCTACTTTTGGAGAGTTATTTGCTAAATCCTGCCAATGCCATGAAGCACTCCAGGTTTTAAACCACACCGTCCCCCCTCTCTTTTTAACCACACAGTCCTCTTTGCATCGTTACTCAGCAGCGCAAAGAGTTGTAGCAGCTTACTGTATGTAAAGGCTATTGCTAGAGCTTCCATGGCAGTAACAGCCGGGGCTGTGTGCTTGTGCCGTAGGGCTGCTCCCCGCTCTAGGAGCCGGTATCGGCGCGGCCGGGGTAAGCAGGGAGGAGGCAGCAATGTGGGCTGGAGAGCGAACGCTGCTGCCACCTTTGAACTTGGATGGGTTGTGGTATCCCTGCCCGGATGACTTCATCCTGTAAACTGACCGCGGGGGCGTTTCACGTCCTAGTCTGTTGCTTCCCGATGTCTCCAGTTTCCACCTGGAATTAGGCATTCCTAGATGGACTTGCAAATCTGACAGCCCCGTCGGCAAATGAATACCTTTATCCATGTGTAAAGATTACAAAGGTGCTACTAACGGAAGAATAAGTAGCTAACGCTATTAGCTACTAATTGCAGCTAATTACAGCTACTCCTTGTGTCAATGTATCAGTGGTTTGGGGCATAGCAGAACAAAGAAAATAAGGCATTGATTTTCAAAAAATAAGGGAAAAACAAATAGGCAAACATTTCTTGCCACCGTGACTGGCATTTAGTCATGAATTCTCACGCTTGTTCTCTGGCTTTCCTTACCACGCTGTTCACAGTCCTTGCCAAAGAATCCAGGGCAGCATTTCCACTGCAAAGACTTCAAAACCTTCTGTTTCACTTGATAGACTGGCTTCAGGGCTGTCCTGTACCTGGGGAGTAAGGGTCTGGGCATTAGATTGCGAGTTACTGTCAGCTGGCGTCACTCGGGGTTAAACTCACTGCCTCTAGCAGCAGCCGGGTGCCCAGTGTGTCCTGGGTGACTAACGCAGAACACAGTTAAGAAATTTGTCATAAACTGTGTCACTGCTACTTAGTAAAACATCTAGGCCGTCCACAGCAATTCTTTTTTTTTTTTTCCCCCCCCACATAAGATTGCTTTTCAGGAGTACTGGCTACAACAGGAGGTGTGTGCCAATTCCTACCCGCAGGCGGGATGTACCTGCTGCCCAGGGAGCAGGGCACAGGTGCCGCACGCTTTACTCTTCTTCAGTAGAGATTTTTTTTTCCAAACAAGCTGGCACCAATGTGACGCCAAGTCTGAGAAATGTCCCAGATAGCAAATTTATGTAACTATCAGAAACGCAGCTGTACTATTTGTTGTAATAAAATCCTTTGCAATCAAGTCTGGACTGAGCTTGAACTTCTCTAATATTCTGATGAGTTGTAGAGAGAGTTTTATTTTTCAACAAATATTCCAAAATGTCACTGGCACCAAGGAAGATAGAAATCTGTTAAAATATTCATGAAACTCTTTTTTTGTTCAAAGAAAGAGAAATTAATTATGTTAACAAATAACAAAAGCAGTCAAGTAACTACACAGATGTGAAAACATGGAGTTGAGTGTTAAATATAATTTCACTTCACAAGTGTGTTTTTATTCAGTGTCTCCCAACTTTAAAAATGCATCAGCCCCGGTACTGTAGGGCACATTATTGGCTTTCACCATAGCTCTTTGGGCAGCCAGTCCTTCTGAAAGAAAAGCAAGCACTTTGGCAATCGCCCATCTCTAACTCCCGCCATGTAAATGCTCTCACTGATGGCCACAGGCAGAGATTTTTTTCAGTTACGTGTGTGTATTATGACCTGAAAATCATGGAAAAGGTATGGTCTCTGGGTTTTTTTTCTGAACAAACATGTGGGAAGATTTGAAAAATCACTTCATTGCCTTGTAGTCCTGAACCTGATGGCTTAAAAAGGGAGTTGTTCTCCCAGGTTGCTTGAACACCTGATGACGTTAGGTACATAAATCAGGCCTAAGTCACTTTGGTATTAAACTGAGGTGGTGTTTTAAGTCTTTTTTAAAATGTGTCATTAAATACTTCTGCAAATATCATTTAGATACTTCAGAGAAAATGATGGTGTCTTCATTGGTTTTATTTTGGATACTTACATGACCTTCTGGCACTCCGGTGCTCCGTTCAGGCAAGGCTGTTGGGAGTTCACAATGTACTTCTCCTTCGTGCAGGCTTCTATGTATGTTACCAGCCGGGACTGCATGAAGGAACACCAGTTCCTAGTGGAAGACAGACATGGGAAAGCAATTTGAAGTAGGTCTTTTAAAGTCTCTGCTGGTAACACTGCCAAGGAAGAGTGAAATGTGGAAGGGTCTTTTTTTTCTTTTTTTTTTTTTTTTTTTTTCCCAATCTGAATGTTGAGGAAAGTGGAAAACGCTTGCTAGCTTCTCCCTCCACTCCCAGTTCATTTGTTTTCATTTGGGATGTTTATTGGAGTTTGTTACAAAAGGGTTGATTGTCTGAACTTTGATGCATTAGTTCCGTTTCCAGTCCTTTCATTTAGCAGGAGAAATTTCCAACTCGCGATAACCTGCAGGTCAATGTCACTTTAAATGTCAAATTGCCTTTCTCAGCACGCTGCCGTTTCAGATGCCTGATGACTGACTCATCAGGTTGAGGCAGGCCGCTTCTGAAAACTTAATCCTCCATAAACTCCACTAATAACCAGTGTCTTCCTAAGTACTACTTCTCCAAGATAATAGAGTAGCTGATTGGATTTTATTAATGAGACTGGCTCTGAAATAATAGCAGGAAATTAATAACTGCAGGAAGATAATATTGGAAAAATGAGGGTGCTTGTCTTGGGGTTTAGTTTTATGCTCATAGCAAGGACAATTTTCCTAGTCTTACTATTGAGTGAGCTTTACTAGTCTGTAAGCTTTCCAAGTCAGTTATATAGACATCTGTTAATCCCAGAGTGTAGGTGAGCCTCTTCATTTTCAAAAGCTTAAAGTTAAGACATGGAAGTGTAATATTGGTTGAAGTTTGACGGTTAAAATCCAAGACCAGAAGTGACAGGAAATGAAGAGTAATAACTGTAACGGGAAATGAAAAAAAAAGTGAAGATTAACATCCGATTAATTAGTAATTACAATTATTGTTGATAAACTATGCATGTATTCAACACACTGTGTCAGGTGGTGTGTTTGCAGAAGTTCACCAGTTAAACTCAAAAGGATCCTACCATCCTCTGTGGGTAGTGATGTGGCAGCTGTCTTTGGACAAAGTAGCTAGAGGGAGACGAGGGGTCCCCGCTGCCTCACTGCTTAACTCTGGCCACAAAACCCTCCAAGGATGAGTTGCTGAACCAGCAATTTCATTTTACAGACAACCTGTCTTAAAGACGGTCTGGGGCCTTGTGTTTCCCATGAGTTTGGCTGCAGATCCTGCCTGATGTAGGAGAGCACCTACCGTGGTTATTTCTAAAGCTGTGTGCACACAGGGCCATGAGGAAGTTGCAAAATATCACTTGACGGCGTACTGATGTTAAAACACGCTAATCTTCCTTGGGGAAAAAGTGGGGTTGAGCAGTTTGGCGAGAGAAATGAAAGAATACAGGCTACCCTCACTGTTACAGCTAATTCACTGTAACTTTCCAGAGTGTCTCTATACAGATGGGTCCAAACAGGCTGTGCCAGGTTAGCAGTTGGCCTGACTGGTTCCTGTCCTGGGAAATGGAAGCGGGTATTGCATTTAGTTCCTCTTTCCAAATGAAGGTGCAGGGTTTGAGGGAGAAGGGGCTTTCAGCAGCTTGCAATGACTGTGGCAGCTCAGCCCCTGTGGTTTAGGCTTTGAAGCGGTGACCTTCCACAGCCTGTGCCACCGGGGCATCAGGCAGGCTGCAGAGGCTCCCATCTTCCCCGGTGACCCATGAAATCCAGCTCTTCCCTTGGCAGCAGAAGAACCTGCGGCTCCTCCAAACATCCCATGGTGCTCGCTGCCTTGGGCTGTGAACCATTCTGAACCAAAACACCAGGCTCCACGCTTTAAATCAGTCTCGTTTTCCAGATGGGAAGATTGGCATGAAATCAGCTGCAAAGGGGATTTGAGGCCTTCATCGCTCCCTTGGGGTAAAACACCCGCAGAGGACACAGCTCCCTAATCGTCACGAAATCAGCTGTCCTGCTTGCAGACCACTTGAACCTCAAAAACCGAACTACGCTGCTATGGTAGATGTCCATGGGACAGGTGTATGAGACGGTGAGAACTGGTTGTTATGGTCTGGGGTTTTATTTTGTTTTCAGCATTGTCCTACCTGATACTGCTGCTGGCAATTCAGTGCTCAAAAGTTTGTCGCTGGAAAGTTTGAATGCCCAGGAGTAAACCTGTTGAGTGAGCAGGTGCTATTCTCAGATGACTTGGGTTTTTTCTCCCTCTGTCTGGCATCTCTAGGGGTCTGCTGTTCTACCTCCAGTAAAACAGCATCCAGCACAGTTGCAGCCATGACTATGAGCCTTAGAGCTTACTGGTGTCAATATATGCAGTATATCTGCTTAAATGAAGCCTGGAGAAAAACTAGAAATTGTATTATATGACATTATGCATACTATTAAATTCCTTTTCTATAAGAAATCAAAGCTAGTTTCTGAGAACAAGAGTAAAATCAGGCCATACACAGTACCAGTCGTGTCAGCTGGGGTATTTGGAGAGATTGGGAGGTTTTTGTTCTCCATGGCTTTGTCAGAGCTTGCATCGCAAAGGAGCATTGGCTGAGGGAAAGGGCCGTGTCTGATAAAGAGCAGCTGAACTTTAGGCAGTATATTTTTACATGGGAAGCAGGAACCATACTTAGTATATACGGAAAAAGTTTGCCTCTTGGAGCAAGTTGCAGGAACAGTGGGGAACGGCATCCCGCACGAAAGCAGAAGCTGGGGCTGCGGTGGCTGGGGGCAGGGGAGGGAGCTGTGAGGATGCTGGAAGCGTCAGGAGGGAAGGGCAGGCAGCCTGGGCTGGCTGGGAACGGTTTGCCAGGCTTGCTGGGACATACGGGGCCTCTTCTGCTTCCCCATTTCTGAAGGAAAATGTGATTGCAATTTCACTGAACAAAAAAAAAACCCACTTCATCTCAGAAGCAGGGGCAGGAATCTGGCAAAGCCTGCGGCGCTGGGAAAGCTGAACAGGAAAGCAGGCTGCTGCAGCCCCGGCTGCGGTTTCAAGCCAAGCCAGCTGCTTCGGTGAGCTGTTGTTTTAAGGCCTTCACAAGCGACTGGGGGAATTTTTGTGCCTATTATCAATGGGAGTCTTTTTGCCTACAGCACTGAACCAGAGGACAAATCCCCAAGTTTTTATTAAATCATTACTCCTCCAGAGTCAAAGGCTCTTCTTGGGTCACCGGGCAGCTCCGTTCAGGCCAGCAGACCAACACCCCGCTCTGGCTGCCCTCGGCCTCCGAGGTGTGTGTGTGTGCCTCTGCCCGTCCCCCGGGCCTCACCAGGCGGCATCATGCTTCAGCGGTCGCTGTCAGATGGGCAACGCCGAAACAGGGACCCCACGGGTGCTTGTAGTCAGGCTGTCCTCTCTCATGTGCCTGGCAAGCCGCAGCTGGGAGCGGCTTTTCCCCCTCAAATCCTCTCCTTTTTTGTTTTGTTTTGGGGCTTGTTTGGGGTTTGGTTTGTTGGGGTTTTTTTTTCTGAGGAAATAAAGTGAGTGGGTGCTGCTGCTGGAGCTCGCTGCCGTTGTTGCTAGGTGCAATATCTCAGGTCTGCCCGCGGGGTGCCTGCCAGATCCAGGCAGGGGTCTGAAATCAGTGTGGAAACCTCCTTTTAAAACAGGATTCTTTGGCTTTAGTGCTTTGTTATTTCGTAATGAAAACAATCCACGCCTCGTGAATCATCATCTGGACTGATTTGGTTTTCCCACC